ACACTCATGTCAGACACAAAGGTAACTCAAAAATGTTAAACCTTCTATACAGGAAAATGTGGGAGGAAGAACAATTGCAACAGGAAGACTGGAAAGAAGGACACCTCAGCGACGTACCTAAGAAACGAGATCTGAGAAAATGTGAGAACTATTGAGGCATCACACAATCGAACATACTTTACAAAGGAATCTTTCACATACTTTGACAGCGTCATCGATGAACACGGAGGATGTGAAGCAGATATGAAGGCACGGATTGTCAAAGTTAGGGCAGCATCCCCACAGTTGAAGAACCTATACAACTCAAAACAACTGTCAACCAATATCGTAGTCACGATCTAAAATATGAACGTCAAGACATTTTTACGTTGAGGAGCTGAAACTTAGAGAAATACCACAATCATGACCAAAAATGTACAGGTATTCATAAATAGTTGTCTACGCAAGATACTCAGTGTGCGTTGACCTGACACCATCAACATCAGCTTTCTGTGGGAGAGAACAAACGAGCTTCCAAATGAAGAGGAAATTAGGGAAAGACGTTGGAAGTTGACAGAACATACATCACGAAAATTACCAGGCTGCAACACAAGACAAGCGCTAATTTGGAATCCTAAGGAAAACAGAAAAGAGGAAGATCAAACAACATACTGCTTCGAGAATGGGAAGGAGACATGATAAGGGTGAGTAGCAACTGGAAACAACTGGAAATGATAGCTCAGGACAGAGTTAGACGGAGAGTGCTGGTGTGCGACCTATGTTCCTCTACGAGTGGTTACAGTCATACGGAAGTAAGTTAAATGTCTCTTGGGGTATATGGTCGATATTATCTCCTATCTCTGCTACCACTGATCAGGAACAAGTCAAACACACAAGAATAGTGCTCAGCCTGTTATCAGGTTCTTCATAATATAAACAACGACCCCACCACAGTAAACCATATTTATAGTTGTTTGACATTAACTGGGAAAGTAGGAATTTATAATAACACTAACTGAAGTAAAGATTGGTTATCAGGCTTTTAAAAAATGTGACAGAGGCAGTGGTGTAGATTTTTTCGACTCCATGGCAAGGCAATAACGTAGCCATAGTGATTAAAGATTGCGGAAATGAATATCATAAATGCAGTCTTGCCACGTAGTTCGCCAGAGATTATTCTGTTTTCCTTTCCACTCAAATTTTTGTCTGCTAACATTTGACCCTTCCAAGTTACTTAGGAGTCAGAACAAAGATTGTTCTTCTGTCCCAGAGAAGTAACTCAATCTTCAGGCTAGATAGCTGCCTACTCATTGCGACATGAACTTGAGTATAGGGGCCCTGTTGGTTACGAGAGGGTATGGTTCTACTTATGCTCCCTGTGAATTGGAGGGGCGAAAACAAACTGGGTAATAGTGGAATTTGTTGAGGAGTAACGCTGATTGTAACCACTTCTAGTAACTACAGTGTCAGAGCGAGCGTCATCCTTCTTATAAAAGGTTCGGAAGAATGTGCCATAACCATCACTTAACATAGGGAATTTCACAACTTGCTGATCCAGAACAAATGTTTGTACGAGTTTCTGCAGGAGCTCTTTTGCGTTTTGTCTTAAATAGACGGGAACCCATATGTATACTGCTAACATATCATACCAGTAATCCATTAGGGTGGGATCATGAGAGTTGTGAAACGTTATGCTTATATTCACGCCGTGTTTCTGTTATAAACTGGTTGCTAGTCCAATGGTCCGAATTGAGGTGGGTAGGGTTTATTATTTAGTCCGACAACGTTTTCAACTGTCATTCTCCGGATACGTTGTAAAAGTGAGGTTTCTTCTAAGTGTAAGAAGATATTATGGAAGAACTTTCATCCAGATGAAGTCTTGGGTGGACACCAAGGGCGGTTTTGAGCAATTTGAGATACAGCGCACAGGTGGGTAAATAGTAAACATCACTCAGCACTGACATTCTGTATTTTCTAGCACTAAAAGCAGAAATTTCAGTCGGTCCACTAGTATATCTTACTAAAGTCCTCATGAGGAATCAAGGTATCGATGGAGTATTGTATCTCTCTCCAAATCTGTCTTTATCAAAGGATTGATAGCTGAAACGGATAAACTTATTCATAAGTCTTTCCATGACCTTTGCAAGGTTATTGGTCTCTGATTGTAAGCTCCACCTCATTACTCACTTTGCATACGAGTACGAATACACTTAAATGATTGTTTGCTCTCGGGAGGATATAGGCAAAGTAGATTTGGACGTCGATTCGGGATTCTGATCAGGTTCGATCTAAGACAGTAGATTTATATAGGTATGAGCCACTTATTGTTTCTCTGGTTTTGAGAGGTACAAATTTCACAACCAATCAGTGCCTATTAGATTCGACGGAACAAATAATTCGTTAATTCAGTCAATCAAGTTTGGGGTTTGAAGGGAAGTTCAAGAGTATTTGCAGAGTCTGGACATACACTGTGGGTAGAAATAATGGGTGTGGAATACCTTAATTAGTAGCTTAACCATAGTAGTATAGGATATGTATACTGTTAAAAGGTTCAAATCAAGAATATTCGTGAAGTTATTTAGAAGTTGGCTTTTGTCTTCCATGTAATTTATCAGAGGAATCTGACACTTTATTCTACTTCATTCTATTTTCTTCACCATCTCATTTTCTGAGTACGCTTGTCGCGGAGTGCAATGGACAGTCCCTAAGAAGAAGATCGTCTATCACTGGATAGACCGGGATATTTGACGTTTACTAAGACAAAAGAAGAAATATTGGAACATAGCCTTTAGCCTTGGCGTAGCAAGTGCGGTGGAACGTTACAGGTCGGTACAAAATAAGTGTATAATTAAAATCCAGGAAGCTCAGTGAAAATATGAAATTCAGTTAGTTCAATCTGTGTAGGATTTAGTTTGTCCTGCAGATATACTGCTAGAACTGTAAACGCGATACTGAAGATCCCATAGTCTACGTGAAAAATATAGTCGGAACAAGGACAACTTGGCTCTAAATTTTGTCCTTTTTTAAACGTTAAAACAATTCGATCAGTACAATAATCAAATGAATTATACATATTAGTTGGAACACACAAATATACCTACCATTATTGCATGTCGACGAAGTAAATAAAAATTATGAGTCACGCTAATATAATACAATAATAATGTCCTTCGATTGACAGGTAATATGCAACAGGGATAGTCTACAGACACATCAGAGCAGATTGACGTGATGGGCTCTTAAACAACGATTTGATTGGTTAGTTATGGACATAACTAACAATCTGTAGCCAAGCAGCCCAAGAGACTATTCTCGTACAGAAATTACAGAACAAGGACACAGCATTGGATTCTCAATCTAATTACAGGAGTAGATCTGAAATGATAGAGGATAATCAAGAGAAATCAGAGGCTATGGCATACTATCTCAGGAAAATTTTCACTCAGGAGCCTCTTCTGGACGAAGAACTAGACCCGAACTTAAAGTCAAAAATTGTCTGCCGCAGTGGATTTCGTGAATGATTCCACTTTTTCCACAGTTTCTCCATCAAGTGTGATTGTGTTGGTATTCTCCATATTGTACTTGAAGATGTCACTTTTTCGCTTGTGTGTGATGAGACCTACTGCTACAGATGCTGCCATTACACTTGTTGTCTTCACTTATATTTGTTCTCGAGTATGAAATAGAAGAACCAGGTCATCCTCAAAGTTCAAATCATCTATTTGTATTCCGTGTTTCACTTGAGATATGGAGTTCTTCATGATTCAGTCAACCACTAGAATAAAGAGAAAGTGGGGGCGTCAGCAGACTTTATCTAAAATTGCTTGACGATTTCCTGATAGGTTATAGACAGAAAGTAAGAATCAATTCTATGTGCTTCTTCTGGAGACTAGTACTTAGTGGAGTAGCGCGAGGTCCTGTCTTGGGTTCTTCAATTTTTATAGTGTATCTAAATGAACTCACAAATATATTTGAGCCCCCAATGTTACGTTACGCTGATGATGTAAAAATCTGGTGGGAAATATCAGGAGACACAGACTCATGCCCACTTTATGGTTAGCTGATCTAAAAAATTGCTGGTGTCTATCAGCGCAGCAAAGTGAGCTTACATGCACTTTGAGGATACGAATGTAAATAGGTATAGCGTAGGGGAAATGCCAGCACTCGTAGTCCGGTCTCATAAGAATCTCGGGGTGACGTTGGGTCATGAGTTTACGACCATGGCTCACTGCCACGAGGTTGTAGCTGAGAGGTTTGGAACACTTTGAGCTTCAAAAAAGACTTACGGACTTAGATACTGCTGTGTTCACTACAGTATGCACAACCTCGATGAGAACTAAATTTAAAAATTCTTCAGACTGCAAGCCCTGTTTGAAAGGTGACTCGGGTATCTTGAAAAATGTACAGAGGGCAGTTACCCGAGAGATTCCAAAACTCCGAGGTTTACCAGACGAAGAGCGTTTTGATAAGCTAGACCTCTTTACTCTGTCCTACTACAGATTATGAGGTGATCTGATCTTGATGTATATAGTACGAAGAAATGATTTTGGACCTGATAAATCTTCTGTTTTTCCTTCTACAGATTTGGAAAACTCAGAGGTAACAGAAGGCGAGCAGAAAAATCAAGAACGAACAAGTTACCCGTAGCATACAGGTTTCCCCACAGAGTCATAAATTCTAGGATCCTGCTACCTGAAGTGCTGTGCGTGCCTTCAATTGACTCATTCAAGAGAAGACTAGACACTTACAGAAGCATACTAGAAAAGGAACAACATGGGCTGTAGGCGTTCTGTCTTCACTACACAGACCTCCTATCCTTATTACTGAAGACTGAAGACTGTATCATCAGACACCATAGCTAAGTAAATGCGAAATCCATTACCTTGACCAAGTGAAGCTGAATGTTTCGTTGGTAATTTGCTTATGATGGAGAACTAAAGTAGATTTTCTTCCTGGTATATTATACTTTGGTATTTCTAGTGAAGGGAGTTTTACTTGACAACTGTAAGTGTTTTAATCAGTGAAAGACAGTTGTTACGCGCTAATCAGAGATGGCTGATCGTGAGTAGAGAAGTTACATGTTCTTTTCATTTTACGTTTTAGTTTGTAGTCAACTTGGATAAAAGCTAACTAGTTTGGGGACTGTCTTTCATTTTATAAGTCCTGGACTTTTCTGTGTTTCAAGCATTTTACCAGTTGCTGGCCATATAAGAGGTCGTGTGGAACTGGCAATTTACTTAACGGCAATTCCCGTTTATATTCAGTCATTCGTAGACTAAATTGCTATCAAATGGCTAAGATAATCTGACTGGGCCTCTGTATAACAAACCCGCGACTGTAAATTACGTAGTTTGCCATAAGTTGTGTAGTTCAAGCACGGTTAGTCATGCTGACCTGAAAGTATTACTCGAGAAGCTCGAAAGCCTAATGGCTCATTTCACTTATTCCTATCGCCCTCGTTTCAAGATCAACACCAGGTATGAACAACTACAACAGCCTGTTTAATGCTAAGTGTCCGGGTACATCGGAGTGAGTTTTCGCCCTGTTCGAAAACATTATTTAATTTTGGTCGCGCTCCCGAAGTTGTACGAAAAGTAATTGCCAGAAGCTTGTGATGTGTTAGTTCTTTTACTTTAAAAGAAGCTGAATTTCTCAACTGATTCAGTCTTACTGTATGGTGATGCGTCTTAATCGCACCATCCAACCAATAACGTAACAGGTTAGACAGATTCAAGTACAACAAGTGCCTAATGGCGTAGCATACACGTTAGTTACTTACTTACTCAAGCAATATATTCCCGTCTCCATATGTTTATCGTGTAGTTGGCTTTAAAGAATTATGGATGGTTCAAAAACAAGAAATGAGTTTGAGGATTAGCAAGTGTAGTGTAATGATAAAGCCTAGAGGTCGGTGGAAAATGAAGAGGAAATGCATCTGCACCACTGACCGGTTTTAAGCGAAGTCAGTCGACTTTTCTGATCGCTTAGAGCAATCTCGCGCACTACAGTCCTAACCGACGACTGCATATTTATCTGTAGCAGGGATCAAGTGACGGATTCCTTCAAAAATGCATGTAATGCTGAGGTTATTCTGGAGTCAGTATTTTATTGAGTGACGAACTGAGTAAATGATATGTTTTGATGTCCTGCGAGCTACGACTAGCGATCAGTCGACGTAGAGTTAATGTTCCCATATTTCGTTCACTCTCTCTGGACATTTTCTTGGTTCTCCATGACCGTTGACATCACTATCTCTACTCGTTAGATTCTTTTTGTTTTGGCATGTGAGCTTAGGCTAGCAGTCATCGGGTTCGAGGTTAACTACTTGAGTCACAGCTTTAATATCTAATCGTCTTGTCACTGTTTACTTGTCTCAGTATGTAATACATTTCTAATTATAGTTCCTACTTCAGTTCGACCGGTCTTATTTCATGCATTCACGGTTGCACCTGTGGTTTTTCGCTTGAGGTGTGCTAACATGAGGAGCTTTTTCCAAAATGTATTTCCATCTCTAGTGCTGTACGAAGAACAAGGGCGGCTAATAATTTACGGTTGCTTGTTGTGTGGTAAAGTATTTCTTTTTGAATTACCTGAATAAGGTGAGTAGTACTCGTACCAATCGAGGAGCGTTTAACAAGGCTCAGAGGAAGACGATAGAAGGCCAATCACACGACCTTTTGTGAGTTTTTGGTGTTGACTTCGTACTCCGGAAAGCCCAACCATCAAAGATGGCAATCCCTGAAATAGTGAAGGATGAAATATTTAGGGTCAGTCCTCCTTGGCCCTAACTTAACTTTCTGAAAATGCAGCACCGCTGCAGATACTGGTTGCCTAAATGGAACATCTTACTGATTGTTGTAATAAATAAGAATTATTTCAAACTCCCCTTTAGATGAGTCAAGTCAGTTAGCCTGGAAAACGTTAAATAAAGCTAAATCCTCAAAGTGAATTGATTGACTTTTATCTAAATACAGTTGCATGTGCTTTTTGTTCTATATGTCTTGCGTTATTAACCGGCAAGTAACCTAAGACTTGGTTTGCCGAAATGAATTTTAACTTTTATTTGTTGACCAAAATACAAGTTTATATGTCCTTTTCTTGGTTTTAGAGTTCGCATATGCTAACATGCAACAGGCTAGTCAAGCTGGCTACCCTCCCTTCCACTATCCAACAGCAAGTGATCAAAACGCTCAGTTGCTTCAAGGTTATGCGCTTTCTCAACAAGGAAATCCAGCTGCTGGAGTTCCAGGCTCTATGTTTGGGGCTCAGTCAGCGGCTTCATATAATTTTGACCAAACAGCTTCTGCTTACAACCAAACCTCTTCGATTCCCGTATGTCAGGTAGACGGTTCACAAGTCCCTATGCAACCCGGTTTGTTTGATAACTTGTTGTTTATAATTATCAGCTGCCGGAGGCTTTGCTTACCCTAATTTCTCTGGTTCATTCAATCAGTATCCTGGAATGGGGCAAGGTATGCCCCCTGGATTGTCAGCTGTCCAAGCGGGCTTCAGTACCGGTACTGCACTATAACCTTTTCTTATTTTTGAAGATATGCAACAGTTTGGGCCACTCATGGCTAATGCTTTTGGGCAAACGATGTCTGCTAATGGAGCGATTTTAGAGGCCATAGCTCACGAACAAGGACTTGCAGGTTAGATTTTCTTGACAATGTGGGATTTCTGAATTTCAGGTTTTAATCCAGTCGCTTTCCTCCAAGACCCAACTGGCACGAACACTCGCGGTGGATTGGGCTCTGGAAGAGGCAGCAGGTATGTTAAATCCAAAATCTTTGGTACATCTGAATATCGAACGGTGTTTTGAGTTTTGATCGAAATTTTTGAGTGTCTCCCAATCAGTCGCGTATTTGGTTCAATTTGAGTGGGAGCTGTGTTTTTCGTCAGTGTTTTGGGTAACTTTGTTGGTAATTACCAGTCAATGGTTTTATGGTATATGTGTGAGTCTTGGTATTTTTGGCTCCCCCACTTTAATATTTTTTTTTACAGAAGCAAGTTGTCTTCTGGTGTTTTTGTGTTTTCACTATTTTGAATTTAACGAAGATTAGTGTTTTTCAGCCAAAGAGGTGGATATAACAAGTTTGGCGGTAAGTGATTTCCAGTGAATTTTCCAAATTTGATAGCTGAAAACTCAGCAGCTTTTATATGAGTCATATTTCTCGTCCTACTTCTTTAGGTTCTCGATCGGGTTCCAACTTGCCCAGTGTCACTAATCGTAAGTTATTCATTCATAAAGTAAAACCGATTGTTCAGCTGATGGACTCCGGGAGGATACAATTTTTGTCAGTAATCTGCCTCAAAATATTGATCACGATGTGATGAAGTCTCAATTTGGTGTCGTCGGGAAAATCAAGGTATCTATTTACAGTAATGGTAATTTACGATATAGATCAATTCCAAAAGCGGTATGCCCATGATATGGATATTTAAAGAAAAAGGTATACCTAAAGGCGAAGCGCTTGTAACTTATGAAGATCCAAGTTGTGTCCAATCGGCTATTCAGTGGTTTAAAGGTATTTTCCTAACATGGTTTACTTCAGCATTTCCTGATATGTTTCACTCGTCGTTACTGATTGTTTTTTATTTTGTGTTTCTACTAGAGCATGAATTTTTGGGAAGAAAGATTGAAGTCAAACAAGCTATTAACAGTCAAAGACCAGTTATTATCCCTCCTGGGGGAGGTGGTTTGCTGGGAGGAAATGGAAATGGACCAAACAATCCTGCTGCTGCTCTGGCAGTTGCAGCTGTGGCTGCGGCTGCCAGTGGGAACACTGTTGCCAGTTTGATGAATAACAGTGCGGCTGCTGCCGCCAGCCTTGCTGCTCTTACAGCGAACAACCCTCAGCTGGCTGCCCACTTTGATTCCAAGGAGTATCCAGGTATGGGTCGCGGAGCAAGCACAGCCTCTCGAGGTGCCCGTGGAGCAATTACCAATGGTTCTTCTGTACGACCTAGCGTCGGTTCGGCTCAAGCAGGTTCAAGGGAAGGCGACTGGAGCTGTCCACAGTGTGGTAATATCAACTTTTCATGGCGAGAACAATGTAATAGGTGCCAGGTGGGTTTTTCATAATTTTTTGTACTTAAACAGTATGTAGTTTTAATGCGTGAGGACACTTCATTCTAAAGTATTTTAATTTATACTTGAGGTTCTGTGTGAAATAAACGTTGTTGCAGTCTTGGTTATTATTTTGTTGTCCTTAAATATTTTCTCTTATTTCAGTGGTATTACTTTTAAAAATGTAGATCAGTATATGTACAGATACGGGAAATTAAGCGCTACTAATGACTTGATAGGAAAGACAAGAGGTACATAGACTTATTTCTTTCGTTGAACGTGCTGGTACGTAAAAACAGCAGTGAAACTAATCACGACAACTTTGCTACCCTTATGTCAAACAAAACGTTTATAGAGTTTGAAGCATTATCTACGAATCGTAGCTGTCTTATAATAACACTAACTCCGTTAAAACTGTCGTTGTGGTAATAGGAGTTTAAACTACCTTTTCAGTAAGTGAACCTCTTTTTCGTTGACGTCTTAAGTCTCAGTCTTGCATAAGTAGGTTGCCGACTTGTGAATAAATTACATGGTTTGAGGACTATATCATCATCGCAGATGATAACAGATATCCACCTTGCTTGTTATGGTCTTGAGCTGTATTTAATTGATTTGTGCACTAATTTTACTGTTGGAAGTAAGAAATCTTGTCATCGATGTTTCCAGATTTGATTCATAAACTATATATTCAGCCTTACAACTAACCTCATTTGTAAATACTGATGTAATTCCTTGGCTAAGTTACAACTTAAAAGCATTTACTGATGCTATAAACTTTATCACTGGGATGGTTATGTACGTCATTTTTCTACGTTTCATTATCATTTTAGAGATTTTTGCCAACTACATTGCTAAAAATTCATGCTATCTCATTTTGTTTATCGACAACTCATCTGATCACCATTTTTAATCATTATAATCGTTGCATTTAATTTTCAGTCAACTCGTTCAGGCGATGGATCTAGTAATCCTGATACGAATTCTAGAAATAACTTGAATGCAACTAGTCGAAGTGCTCAACCACCTGCTGCAGTTATGAATTCCAGTTCTCAACAGAGCAATCCTGGATTTGGACGAGGCGGGGCAATGAATCCTACTTCAAGCGCCAATCGAGGAGGTCGAGGTGGTGGTCCCATGCGTGGAAGTAGTGTTGGAACAGGCCGGGCACGTCCAGCGCCTTATTAAGCCATCTAAATTTGCCATTGTAGGAAATTTCTTGAAATATGCTTTCATGATGCATTTCAGGTCTCTGCAATTAGTGTCTTTGTTGTCTCACTAACTGGATGGTTTGTGAAATATTGTATTTGAACTATGTAATTATGGTCATATAACCCAATAATTGTTATATGCTCTACTCCGGCTTAGTTAATTTTTGATTCCGAATTTGCGGCGTAATTCTAAGCAACTTAAGGCCAGTTGTCCTACGTAAACGATAAAAGGAGTTTTGTTGAAACCAAGATTCTCGTATTACAATTAACTTGAAGAAAACAAAATGAGGTATGCTCGGTTCTTGTCTAGTCAGGACTAGTAGTGACTGTAGTGTTAGTTTGAAGTAATAACGCCGGGATGCAAGAAAATATGGCATCAGATTTTCTGATAGTTAGGCCCTTTGATTAAACGATACCTAGCAGATTCCGATAAAGACATACAGCTTTTGTTTTTATAGTAATTGTGAACAGCAAGTGATTTCTAAAATTCGTTTGTTTAAGAAATTGTTAATTAGAATGTCACATTTCCGCACTTAAATTCAGTCCATTTCACCATACGAACTGCAAGCGATGGCAATTGCTACAATGAAGTTCTTGTTCTTTATGTGAATTCACTTTAGCAGACTATATATAATTACTTTTATGCAGTTACTTTCTGTGTACTAACTACAAGATTGAACTCTTAATTGGGTGCTCGTACCAGTATCTATAAATTACCTCAAATTTTAAATTAGAGTTGACTGGATTTTCTAATGGACTAAGTTTCCGATGTTACCATTATTTCACGCGTGATATATGAATTCGGAAATACTTCTCAGTTGGTTAGTTTCGTGTAAGAGCAGTTGGTTATTATACGTGTCATCAATTTTGAATTAGAATATTAATTCTGTATGAAATTGCTAAGTAACGGTATCGAATAGATAGCTAGATGGTTTTCAGTGTTTCGGTACAGTTAATCCCCGTTGTCTGATTAGGGTAATAATTTCAGTATTTGTAGCGTTTGTAAAAAATAACTGTAGAAATAGTGATTTCGGTCTGTCGAATATTGTAAGACGTCCAACGAAGTTACTGAAATTGTTTTGGTGAGTATTACCGTATACAACTGAGCTTTATTCTGGTTCTCATCACTTCGAATGGCTTACTTCCGAACTATCTTTGTTACTATGATCTTTTGTTCCATGGTCACTATATTAATAGTATAATCTGACCTGACAATAACTTTCACAAGTGAAGTAATTTTTGATATTTTTGAGCAAACTCTTCACATTACTTACCTGACTGAAAGCGGATCGTACTATATTCTTGATATCGGGAAATTTACCGATTGGAGAATCGGAAAAGCAAACTGAGTTTAGTTTTCTTGGTCGTTCAGTTTATCTATCACGACATCCATATAACGATCCATAATAAAGAGGTCTGTTTACACCAAGAAAATGTAGGAGGCGCTACATTTCAGGACTCAGCGTTTCAGTGGCACTCAGTTTGTCACGTCTCTGTTAGCGACTGACAGCAGTTGCACATTCCCAATCCCTCTATAGAAATAATCTTCAGTTTAATCTGCTTCAGAGCAGTTTCAATTGTAACTGATAGACTGACGACGGCTTGACATCCTACTCAAATATAAACAACTTTAGTGCAAGTCTATTAATTTGAAGTGGATAAACAATTACACGTGTAAGTAACGTATATTTAAGTGTTAATGGGTTTTCATATTCGACAATCACGAATGAGCGTTGTTTGGTCAGTTTGTTGGTTGGAGATACCCTCATACGGCAAAACACAGTTTACTGTTATCAACTGAGTAGGATTCACTGCTTTATGGTCCGATATTAGTACACTGGGTTGGGTTGTTGGTCGACTTAGTTTCTGGAGGTTAGTGCTATTTTGATTGCTTTCATGTAACTGGTTTTTTCACACAGTGTAAGTGATTTAGTTGACTTGTGAAACTTCAATCGATTAGATTGACAGTGCTTCCAGGTTTTCCATGGTGGTCCAGCTTTAATCGACTCACGATCTCAACTACTGAAATTATTACAATCTCCACAAAACCCCTTCTGATAAGAATCATTAAGTGTTTGAATTAATTAAAAAGGCATTTAAATTAATCATTTTAATGAATAATATAATACTTGTAACTGTTATCACCTTCAACTTCTTACAAACCACTTAATCTTATTATAAGATTATACAATTCACTGATTACGGGTTCACTTATATCACTCATATTATTGACCTTCTCTGTAATCAATAATACAAATGGACTACCCCTGATTTCAATTACCACACTCAGTTTATTTTATTTCAAATAACCAATCAGAAGACGAAGACAGCAATTCGACATACATTGTATTATTATAACTCGAAAACTGATACAGTAATTATATGGTACTACTCCATCACCAATGGGAAATAATTTGTGCAATAGGTGCATAATTAATTAATATATTAAGAACGATGAAACCGATATCACTGGGTAGTAAGCCCAATGAAATCTTGTAAATTAGGATAACATAAAAATATCAGTCCAATATTTCGCAGTTATACAATTAAAATAGATTTTAAAATGTAATGAACGAAGACTTGAATAAGGGTTAACTAATCAGTTGTATCATGCTGATTCACACACTGCATTCGTAAAATATGAAAACAATACATTGGATAAACCATTTGAATTATGTGTTCTACAAAATCCATCGTCCTTCCATTCCTGATGCTAACCGGACCACTTCTGCTACTCGTCATTTTCCTCTTCTTTCAATAAGAATCCTACTTCCAATCTCCTATATATATATATATATATATATATATATATATATATATATATACTATATATACCCGTATGAGTAGCACAAACCATAATTGTATCACCTTTTCCAAATATCCTACCCTATCTAACAGCAACAAAAAGTGAAAATAAATTGGATTTACTCCAAGAAACAGAACGGGCTAAATCTGTGGTAGTATTAGATATTTTCTCATTTTTTCTTAATGGTGAAGGTTCTTTTTGAAAAAGAAACGTGTGATTATAATTTCTTGGATTAAATAAAACAAAAGAGTTTTAGTCGTTTATGTAACATCAGAAAATATTTATTATTCATAATGAGATTTAAAATTGTTTAATTTTTTTTAGTTATTTCAGTTTTCTAGGTTTCAGTACATCACATCTGAGTCATTTCAACATTAACTATACATTCTTTGTTTATTTCATCATTAATTTGATTTATGAGGAAACTAGTGTTTTAAAGTCACATTATAAAAAAAAAGTAGAAAGTTGGCATACTGAAGTTTGATTACAATTCTTTGGAAAACTATTCTGATCAAATTATTAACCCTAGATAGAACCAGGAGAGGAGCTGTTGTAGATTTAGATCACCACCTGGTTGTGACCAAGATGAAACTGAAGCAAAATATGCAATGAATAACTAGACAATGGTTTAATAAAGCCTTCCCTGACAAACTCAACCAATTCAAAATAACTCAACAACAGGTTTTGAGCACTACAAGATCTATTCAAAGAAGATGAAACTAATATGCAAGACAACTGAAAAGGGATCAAAGAAGAACCAAATTCAACGTGTCAAGAGGTGCTGGGATGCAATAAGCATTTTCATAAGGAATGGATCTCTATGCAAACCCTGGACAAAATTGAGGAAAAGAAGAACAAGAAGACAGCAGATAACATTCAAACAAGAACAGAGAAAGTCGAGGATCATGCCGAATACAAAGAAGCAAACAAGTAAGTGAAGAAAGGGCATTAGAGCCGACAAGCAGAAATACGTAGAAGATCTAGCATCTACAGAAGAAGCTTCAAGAGAGGGAAATATGAGACAGCTATATGACACAACGAAGAAACTTGGAGGAAGATATATTAAAGCAGAGAGACTGGTCAAGATCAAAGATGGTAAGACAATGACTGAGATTCATGAACAGAGGAACAGATGGGTAGAATACTTCGAGGAACTCTTGAATAGACTAGCCCCATTGAATTTACCGGACATCGAAGCAGCACCTACAGACATTCCTATACATGTCACTCCGCCAACGATCGAAGAAATCAGGATGGCTATCAGACAAATGAAGAATGGGAATTTAGTAGGACCTGACAATGTATAGGCAAACACACTCATGTCAGACACAAAGGTAACTCAAAAATGTTAAACCTTCTATACAGGAAAATGTGGGAGGAAGAACAATTGCAACAGGAAGACTGGAAAGAAGGACACCTCAGCGACGTACCTAAGAAACGAGATCTGAGAAAATGTGAGAACTATTGAGGCATCACACAATCGAACATACTTTACAAAGGAATCTTTCACATACTTTGACAGCGTCATCGATGAACACGGAGGATGTGAAGCAGATATGAAGGCACGGATTGTCAAAGTTAGGGCAGCATCCCCACAGTTGAAGAACCTATACAACTCAAAACAACTGTCAACCAATATCGTAGTCACGATCTAAAATACGAACCAATAGTGCACATGGGCTCCGGGATCCTGAGGGAACAAATGGCGGATGAGTCGCTTATTGGTTATCCTATACTATGGGACTGCCGCTCCTGACATTGCTCGACTACGTTTTGGATCAGACTTTTAGGTCAAATGCTCCGGATGTAGTCCCCTAAGAAAATCACCTGCTTTGGTTTGGGCACCCGAGCAGCACACAAATCAAGTGACTTGTGTGGCGCATATTTATGTATACAAATAAATAAAATATTATGTACTTCACTTGAGATAATAATCAGTATATTATAAATCTTGTAGTCTTGAGAGAACTGATGCTCCCTGACGGATTCGATCCCGTATCACCCAGCTTCACAGAGACGTTACTGTGGTGTGAGCTACTTATATTGATATAAGTAGTATATAACGTGCGTTAAAAGAACGTAATGTCCGGCAGCAGAAGATGGCGAAGATCAAGAAAGGAAGAGCAAGAGCACAATGGAATTGTAAGAAAACGCATGTACAATGGAATGGGAGACAATGGATTAGTGTTTGCAACGGGAACAGTACAGTTTGGTATGATGGAATGATATTTTGCAAATTGACTATTGACTTTATGGTATTCACATTTTATTGAGATAGTCTGTAATTTTTGTGCTAAATACAATCGATTGTCCCCACCCGTGTTCTTGTTCACTACATTACCATTGATCTATAGAGATTAATTTGACTTAGCAGTAACATCCAATTGAATCATATGCATGTTTATTTAATCTTAAAATAAAATAATAAGAAAAATATATGTTTTAATCAATTTTATTACATAGCAAGAGTTAAATAGGATAAAGAAAATCATGAGACATTTGATTATGTCATATTGAAACAAACTCATGTCTTTAATTGTTCGTAATTGAACTGAAGTTTAAAGAGAAAAAACACCATATTGTTTTGTACATTATATCGTTTATTAAGGACCTTTTTAGGCACATCACATTTCAAATGAGTGTAGTAATATCATTGGCAAACTTGATGACCTTGAGAACCGTTGCTGAAATATTCTAAAGATTTATAAATAAATTAGTATTATATTTGTAATATCTAAATGAGTAGAAAAAAAAAGATTTTCTATAACATGATCTGGACTTGTTCAGACCTGTTTTTTTATTGATCGCACATAATATCATTGTATCGTTCCGTTTGTACAGTTTAGACTTGGGTTAATTTTGATTTGGTTATTTATTTCTTCTGAGGAAGTGGCTTACATTGAGTTACGAAACATCAGAAAATCTTTTTTTGACTCATTGGGATATTATAAATATTTTAATTTATGTATAACAATCTGCCCAATACTCAATTTATTCGAAATTGTCAAGTCAAACCATGGTAATGATACCTACAAATTCCTAGAGATTTGTTTGCGGTTTGTGTTAAAGTAATAATTAAAAAAACTGTTAGAGACTTTAATAGTTAAATTTTCTTAAGAATTATTTAGTCATTGTTATGTTTACTTGTTTTCCTATGGCTTCTGTATTCTCATTTTAAATGTCGTCATTTCATTCAGATAGAAGTAGTCGAGAGGTTCGTGTATCTAGGTAGCTGCATAAGTGCTGGTGGTGGCGAGAGTGATGAGATCAACGCACGTATAGTGAAAGCCTGAGCGGCTTATGACAATCTGGGTCATTTTGGCGCCTTCGTAATGTCAATCTGGCTGTAAAAGGTCGGATCTACAACGCGTCGATGAGAGCAGTCTTGCTCTATGCTTGTGAAACCTGGCCTCTCCGAGTTGAGGATGTTAGACGACTGTCTGTATTTGATCATCGTTGTCTCCGAAGGATTGCTGACATTCAGTGGCAAAACTATGTTATTAATGCAGAGGTTCGGCATTGTGTGTTCGGGCACAGAGACGATAATGCAATCGATGTCGCCATCTTGAAACACCGACTTCGGTGGCTTGGACATGTTCTACGAATGTCGTCCCAGAGAATTCCACGTCGTGCATTATTTGCCGACTCTGGGACTGATTGGAAGAAGCGGAGAGGTGGTCAGTGCATGACATAGTGTCGTGGTATGAAAGAAAGCTGCAAAGGACTGGCTTGTGTTGGTCCTTCACGACTCTCTGGTTGGGGTCTGAGAGATGGTGCAACACAGTGGCTAGGGACGTTATCAGATATGTCTCAGAACAGAAACCAGTGGCGATCCTGCTGTAACCTTCTTTTACTTTCTTCGTAAAAAGTGGTTGTATCTTCCTGAACTGAAAGATTTCTGATTGTACTTTTTCGTTTCCCCATTATTATTATTATTATTATTATTATTATTATTATTATTATTATTATTATTATTATTATTACACTACCATATACCAATCTGTGGTCGTTATTGTTCTTTTTCTTACTTCTTATACACACCTTACATTCTTTTTCTCTTCCCATTCTCATTATTTTGTGTGGCGCATATACATCTGGTTCCCCCTTGTACGAATATTTATATGTTCAAATAAATAAATAAAAAATAATTAATCCTTATTTTAAGGGACATTTAACGATGACTCTT